TGCTACTTTGCACCAGCTAATTCTTATGGTCTAGTGGTAAGAACCTGCATTGCAATCCCAAAGGCACATGGTTCAAATCCACCAGCTGCTCCACAGGGGAAGGCTGAGCATTTTCCTCCCTTGAAATTTATTACTTTGAATTTATTATTATTTTGAATTTATTACTGGAGGGTCATCTGTGAGTCAGTCAGTTCCAGCTTCACAGCACACCACCACAACAACAACAACTGCTTTCAAGTCATATTTGACTTAGAGCAACCTTATAAGATCCAGTAGAATTGTCAGTTAAGGTTTCTGACTCTGTAAATTTTTACAAGACCAGACAGCCTCATCTTTCTGGTGTTTTCAAGCCACTGACATTTATGTTAGCAGCCAACATTTAACTCACTTGAAATAGGGAGTTCAGAGATTCAGTTTTATGGAGTGATTAGAGAAGAACAAATTGAGAAGATGACATTTGAAAAAAGTTTTAAAGAAGGTGAAAAGTAAACTCTGCAAATACCTTGGAAAAGAGTTTGGGGAATGCGGAAAAGGCAAGTGTAAATACTTCAGCCTCAACCATTGTGCCATCAGGGCCCTGCTGAGCATACAGAATTTGGTACTTATGCTGATGACAGTCCTAAGAAGCGGGTGTTACTTGAGTCTTCATTTTATAAATGAATACATTGAGGCACTGAGAGGGTAAGTAATTTTCTCTAAAAGTCACACAGCTACTTAACAGAGGAGTCGGGTTTCAAATACAAAGCACTGTTCTCTTAAACATTAAGCTGTTTTAGAAGAATTGAATGGGGAGATTCTGGAAAGTGAAGGTTCTGGAGAGCAGGTCAGGATTCTGGTTTGGACATAATAAATTAGAAATGCCTGTTTTGGTGGTAATGAGTTGTACTGCCAACCCAATGGCAAGCAATTCAAATTCACCAGTGGCTTTTTGGGAGAAAGAGCAATAGTCTCCTCTCATGTGATTGACAAACCAGCTATGAGTTGGTTCCAACCTGACAGCACATAACAACAACAATAATTAGAAGAAATTGGAGCCAAGGTCATGTAGTCTGTATTGTGATACAGTGCTGACCAAAAGGCAGTGTGTCTGGTGGTTTGAATCCACCAGTGGCTCCTGGGGAGAAAGCTGGACAATTTCCTATTTAGCCTCAGCAATCATGGAGAGTTGTTATTGGCGCAAAGGCAGTGAGTTTGAGTTTTAGAAATCAAAGTAGAGATTGATTTACAAGTAGGCAACTGGATGTCTGAACCTAGAGTTTTGGAAAGATGTCTAGGTTCGGAAAAAAATTTTAGAGTTGCTGACACTAAAGAGTTGAATAGAAGATTTCAAAAGGCAGCATGGGATGACAAAGAAAAATATTACAATGAAATGTGCAAGGAGTTGGAGTCAGAAAATCAAAAGGGCCGAACTCGCTCAGCATATCTTAAGCTCAAGAAACTGAAGAACAAATTCAAACCTCGAGTTGCTATAATCAAGGATGCTTTCGGCAGAATGTTAAATGATCCCGGAAGTATTAAA